TATATATACACTAAATATATATATTTTTTTATTAACTACGCAGTTTCCTGCCGAGGAGCTTCGCTCTGTGGAGAACGGTTATCATGACAACCCCACACTGGACGTGACCAACGACGCCCAGCCTGAGATGCAGGAGAAGAAGCCGAGCACCAACGGGCTCGCAGCAGGAGGAGGAGGAGGTGGAGGGGGCGAGGAGGAGGACAGCAGCCACTGGCAGGTGATTGGACGGTTTATTTAAAGAAAAAAAAACATGATGAGTAATTTATCTCAGCAGCACCAAAAAAAAACCTCTTGTTTCTCTTTTAAGGCTTTTGTCAACCAAGCAGTCACTGAGGACGACGAAGAGGAGCAGGACACCCATCTCTGACCGATGAAGAGGAGGTTCCTTTTGTTTAAATGAGTGGAAACGAGAGGAGAAGAGAAGATGTCTGATGGGAGAGAAAGGAGAGAGGAGCTGGAGGAGCTGCTGATGTCATCTAGAAGATCAGACACCGGTTTTATACGACGTTCAGATTTACAGTTCACATAAAACAGATTTTATCAACAAATCAAACATTTAAACAATGAATTTTTATTTATTTTTAGGAAGAAATGAGATCATTTAGATCAGAGGTGCCCAAAGTGGGGCTCGTGGGCCAAAATTGGCCCGCCGAGCCATTTGATTTGGCCCACCAGCAATTGTCCTGGCTACTAGATTGTAATTATGTTAAGATTAAATATAAAATACATGTAACTACAAGAGATATTTAGATTAGATTTAAGCCTATATATAGATTTGCACACCTTACAAGACCACATATACTCAAATTTTAAATTATGAAAAGTCCCATGAGCCTTTGCTGCCCGAGCATTGAATTTTCTCCACGTCCATGGGCTGAAGAAAAAAAAACTAATGAATGTAGGCAACCACACTGCTGCTAGCTTAATCATAAAAATAAAACAACTTTACTTAAGTATTTGCATTTCTTATTTTATTGCATTTGGCCCGCGGCCCTCAGATTTATTTTAATTTTGGCCCCCTCATGGAAAATGTTTGGGCACCCCTGTTTTAGATTTTGTTGGCAGTTTGTTTAAAGTGTCTGTGACATGCATATCATTCAAATACAAAACTTAAAGAAAACATCTTTATACTTGAGAAAATTGGCATAATATACATGATTTTACCCATTTTGTCTCATAACTGGCCTATTTTCTTTTGGATTTGACTCAGCCAAAGTGAAACAGGAAATGACATCAAAGGGGAACTCATTAATAAATTAAACTCTCTGGTCTTTGCTTATTAAAACATTATTATTTAAACTTTAACTCTTCGTTATCCATGTTTGATAGAAGCTCAAATTAATCTAAAGAAACATCAGATTCGTCTCTACAGTCTGTGTTTTCAGCTGTTGTAACAACGCTCTGTTTACATGTAGACATTCCCCTATGACATCACTTCCTGTTTCTTCACAGGGAAATATCTCAACAAACGTTCATCTCAGGGTCGTGAAATTTGTTTTGCAACATTTTATCAATGTCCTCTTTCCAAAACATGCATTCGTGTTCATTACAAAAATTTAATGTCACAGGCCCTTTAAAGTTGTTCCAGATTCTGTGGGTCTCTAAACATCCAGGACCAGTTCTGGAGGTTGTGGAGGGAATGTTCCAGCTGTTCCGTGGTCTTGGATGGGCTCAGATGTTCTGGAACCTGTAGTTACTGTCCTTCATTGATGGAGCCTTTCTAAACGTGTGCCCGAGGCACTAATGCACCCCTATACCATCAGAGAGGTGGGCTGTTTTATTTAATTTCACATCTCAACATTGTAGGAATTCTACATAACGATAAAAAAAATCCACGTTAGAAGTCGAACTCCTTGGTTTGTTGTGCCTTACGCTCGAAGCTTTTTGTACGATGGCTGCATGAAATGATTTAAACGTTGGACATAAAAACATGGTTTCTGGTAAAAAAAATAGTACATTTCTTCAGCTCAGAAACACCAGCAGAACGTCACAGCGTGAGCTTAGTGTAAATACAGATAGACAAATAAATGATCATCATCACACGGTCTAACAGTAAAATGCTGCACACAAGCTAAAGCAACATCAGTCGTTTTCCACTAAAACGTTTCTTTTTGCAGGAAATTGAACATTTAACGTACGTTCTGAATGTAACACAGTCCAAGTCTGTTTTCCACCAGCAGGAAGCAGAATGACATCAGCTGCTCCTCCAACAGAAGTCTAACTGTGAAGTTTCGGCACTTTATCGATTCCCTTTTCTTGGAAGAGTCATCTCACATTAAAGCCGCTGCATCGTGTTTAAATGTACAACACAGAAATATCTCTACTTTGCTTTGAGTATTTGTTGTGAGCGCTGAAGATGTCTGCTGTACGCTTTTCTCATGCGCTGTTAACCTTATATGGAATGGTCGCTGGCTTAAATCTCAAAGCTCTGACGCCTTGGGCGACACCAGAGCTCAGCAGCATGAACAAAAACAGAAACTATAGCGTCAGGAAACCCTGACTGAGCTCAAACTGTTTTATTTTACTGTTAAATGTTAAAGTTGTAATCATGAAACATATCAGTCGTGTCTGAGGTTTTTCAGTCTGTGTCAGAATAAACTCACCAGGAGGATGTTTAAAGTGTCTGTGATGGTTTTGAGTTAGTAAAATGTGACGTGCTGCAGGCATTTAAACCAGAGCCTCTCTGGTTTGTTGTAACGACAGCAGCAGGTAAGATTCAGGTTGTTTTTGCAGCTGTGTTTTTGTTTTTTGTATATTTTTAACTTTTCAGTTTCCATTCCCGCTGAGCTACATCCAGATGTTGTCTGTGTTTTCAGCTCTCTGAGTCACTGATTGCATATTTGTTAGGCATTCATGAGAACTGAGATCAGTTGAATATAAATTTACACGACTGCCTGCAGAGTAAATGAGCTCAGAACAGACGAGCATGTAGCTTTCAGCACCGCAGCCAACGTCAACAAAACACAGCTGATGTTGCTCTTTTAGGATTGAAAGTTTATAGATATTATTGCCAATATGATCAATTTATTTGAGTTAAAATACAGTTTTTTTACAGACTTTGACAGCTTACTGATAATTTACATGTAGCAACAAAATAAGTTTTTTAGTTTGTAAAATCATTAAAAATGTACAGTTTTGTTGGTAAAAACTTATATTGTTGTGTTTAATATTGTGTTATTTGATTCCAGTTCAGTGATAAAGGCATTTTGTTGTGTTTTTATAAGCTTTTTGATCACACATTTTTTCTTTTTATTGCCAGTGTTATAAGAAAGCTTCAGAAATAAAATTAAAAGAAAAAGGGTTTAAAATTGTTTCCTGTCGTCACTATATGTTTATTTTCTGTCTTCTAACAGATTTAAGTGTGATTTAGGATTATTTTATTTTATTTTCCTATTTAAAATAAATTTTCCATTTATATTTTTATAGGGCATCAAATTATTAAAAATTTTAATCTATTAATTCCAAGGTAGCTGTGAATTAATCACGATTAATCTTAAACTTAATATATAAC